GAGACAGCATATTTGCTATATAATCCAGGCTGCCTGTGAACTGATTATAGCCCAGGCTGGCCTGGAACTCAAGGCAATCCTCCTGCCTCAGCCTCCTGAGTGCTGGAATTACAGGCATGCACCACCACACCTGGTAGGCAGATTGCAATTTTGAGCTCAGCTCAGGAAACTTAGCAGTTTAGGGAGAACGTGCCAAATAAAAAGGGCTGGGGATGTAGCTAATCATGAAGACTCTAGGTTCAATCACCAGTATCATGGGGGGGAAAAGGGAAGTCTCTGTGACTCTTCCATGGTAAACAGTATAGCCTGGATGTAACAGAAACCTTAACAGTGTCCCTGCTCGTTGACCCTGTACTGCTTTTATTTATTTATTTACTTAGGTACCAGGGATCGAACTTGGGACTTTGCACTTGCGAGGCAGATGGTGGAACCACTGAGCTAAATCCTTGGCCCTTGCTTTTAGATTCACCTTGAGGAAACAGATGCACCCAAAGATTCATTATGTGAGGAACGACACACCATTCTACACACCAGAAAAACAACCATGCCTAAATAAGCACCAAAATGGGTGACAGAGGCTGGGAAGTAGAGAGAAAATCTTCACATGGGAACGGGACCAAGGGAGGCGGGAGAGGGAAGGAGGGAAAAGGAAAAAAAAAGAATAGAAGGAAAAATGGAGACAAAGTTTTTGTAAATAAAGAGGGAAAGGGGTTGAAGGGAGGGGAGAGGAATGGGGAAAAAAGAAGCAAGATATATTATGTGCAGGTACAAACTCCCTATGACCCATGTGATCATTATGTATATCAAAAGAATACCAATAAAATTAATTTAAAAAAAGAAAAAAAACATGAACAGGAGCAGGTAAAAGAAGGGCATCTCCAAGAGGGTGAACACTACAAAGATTTTTTTAAAATCACATTTTTGAAGTAAATTAAAAAAAATTACCTCTTCCTTTAAAAATAAGTGCTCTAACGTGAACGGAACACGGGGTTTCTGGTGGGGAGGACAGCCCAGTCCTGCTGTCCCCGAGGACCCCTTCTGAGGACCCCATCTTTCCTGGTGACTTTGCCATGGCACCTGCAACTCTCCCTACTTGTGGGGCTCTTGGTCCGGGAGCCAGCGGGTGGTTGGCAGTGACACTGAGCCCAAGTACCCTGAGGGGTTAGGGAGTCTGGGTAGGTCTCGGGACTTTGTGTCATGACGTTGAGTCCTTTGAACTGGAAATTGTAACCAAATTGAACACACATGACGAATTTCAGCAGAGCTAAAAGATAGTTCTGCCGGCTTTCTTTCTTCCTCTGTGCCCTTGGTGGCAGATACCAGGTGCATGCACGCACACACACACACGCGCGTGCGCGCACACACACACACACACACACACACACACACACATGCACATCACACAAGTGCCAGGCTGTCCCATGAGCTGACACCTGCAGAAGTTTGAGTAAATGTCCAATTTTCCTTTCAGCAGTTTAAAGTTTTTAGTTTACTTTACTAATTAAGCCCTCCATTATGAATAGATCTGCAATAAGGAAGCCAACACAGGCAGGTGCCTACTTCTCAGAAAGACATGAGAGGTAAAAGGGGTTGAGATTTGATCCCCTCAGAGAAGACTTCGCAGCATTCAGGATAAGGTGATCCCCAAAATTACCACTCCCTATGTACACCCTGGGGGTCACCTGCAGATCCCATCTTCTGGCTCAGGAACTTCCCCTATGCCACATAGAGGTGGCATTCAGTGACTTAGCCAGCAGTTATGAATTTCAGCTGAGCTTCAGACTGCCCCACATTTGTGCTTCAAGAGCTCAGGTCCCCCAGCAAGCCCATGCCCAGGCCTGCACTCACCTTGCTGCACCGGAGAATAGGCATTGGTCAGGAAGCGGAAGTGGCCCTTGTTGTACCAGCAGATCAGGGACATATTCCCCTTCGTCTTGATCTGGTGTTGGCCACGGGCAGGGGGTGTGGCTGGGCTGGCCAGCATGGACGGTGGGAGGCCTGTACAGTCACTTTTTCGGGGGCTGAGCAGACCACAGCAGTAGATCCCTGGGGGGAGATGCAGACACACACATCCTGTCAGAGAGCCCAGGCACCCCAACCCCACATACTTAGTAGGGATGGGACACAGGACACAGGCCCTCAGGAAGCCCTCAGAAGAATGAAGTTGGAGCCTCCTCCTGTAACCTCCTCTTACAAGAACATGTCCCATGACTACAGGAAAAGCCACGATCTAAGCAGTGGACCAACTGTAGCAACAGTGACCTCATCGATGGGGCCCACCCAGTGCTCAGTACCATGCCAAGCACAGCATTCTAAATGTACCCAGAAATCTCCACACTTACAGGTTATCACACACAGTAGACAAGAGGAATGGAGGCCCCAAGGGCAAAGCCCCAGGTTACAGCTGGAGGGCAAAGACAGAGTGACTTGTGGGGGCAGGGACACTAGCCCAGAACATGCAGTAGTCCTGAGGTTGGCACAGCTATCCCTGACCCTCAGTGTGGGCACATCGGACAGAGAACCACCACCTCCAGGACTGCAGACAAAGCCTGTCTGTGGCAGAGTTCAGTAATTTCAGATGCTTCTAAAATAGGCAATGAGACCTTTTTATCGGTTACATAACCTTCTCTTGAAAAAAAAAAATTCAAATTCTGAATCTCGTTCCCTTCTTCCAGAGGAAGGGACTCTTCCCAGTCTCCTAACTTCGTGAGCCAGGACAGCCCCTTCCTCTCAGTTCCCAGGAGAAGCACAAAGCTTGTGGGGAGACAGCCCTGACGGCCCAGGTCACCCCCAGGACCTCCGTCTGCCCAGCATCAACCCCACCCAGACACACGCTCCGAGCCAGCCTGGAACGCGCCTTGTAGCTCTCGGTGCAGGCTGATGTTGAGTCAGGGAGCACCTATCACACACCCAAGTCAGCAGGGCAGTGGCCCTGGCTCTGCCTACTGGCTCAGCAGCAGAACGCTATTCTTCAGCATGACTGCTTCTCCAGTGGTGGGGCCCGTCTCCAGTCTCCCTACTGGCCCATCACACCACCTGCTCAGGGTCAACACGAATAGGCTTGAGCTGCACAGAGGAGTAGGATGCGGCCTGCTACAAGGAGCAGAGGTCAGCTGCTTCCCCACCTTGCTGCATCTGAGGCCCCCACAACCTAAGAGGTGCCACTGTTAGGGATGATGTCTGTTATATGGATGCACAAAAGGTCTGTGCCCGTGTGGCTGCTGTATTAGCATGGTGCCTTCTGTGCTTTCTTGAGAAGACGAGATCCACACCCGATTGCAGGGTGACTGAAGTCAGCATGCCTCCTGGGCATCTCCTCTGCCATAGCCCTGGGACTGCCTTGCCTTTGTAACAAAGAGCCTAGCATACTGGATCATTCCCTGTCTAAACACTTCTCATCTGTCAGGGACATGGTCGTGATAGAGACGGAGGGTCAGTCAGGAGTCTGCAGACCCTCACTACAGCCAGGCTGGGGTCTCTGATGGCCACAGCCATACAGAAAAGGATACAGAGTAGTGCCTAGAAGACCAGGCCTAGCTGTGCCAGCACATCCCTGAGACAGTGGCCAGGACTCATACACTTCGAAGTTACCAGGGCCCCTTGTCGCCTGGTGCTCTACCGTCTACAGTCACTAAACCTTGCACCCCCAGCCCCCACTACCCTCTGGCGGGCCATCTGGGACACTGCATGACAAACCTTGCTTCTCAAATTCTTCAAACAGTGTCAGGCTGGTGATGCTGGGCCCTGTGAAGATGATGTAGTTCTTGCCAGCCGCATCTCGGCACAGGCTTCTGGCCACCATGCTGTGGAGCTGGGGCTTGCTCTTTAGTGCATCCAGCCCATCAGGGCCCCCACCTTCCTTCAAGTGGACATAAATCTGTAGAGACACACGGAGTCAGCGCACTCCCAGAAGCAGAGCCAAGAGCCCAGGGCTGGGGAATGTGGGCCTCCATCCCCAGGCTGGGAGCATGTGAGAAGCCAACCCTGTGGCCTGGGGTGGCCCCGAAGCCACTTCACACCCAGTCAGCTGGGGACTCAGCCCAGATGCTTCTGTGTGGAAAGGTCAGAGTGGAGAAGGAACAGGCCGAGAAGCCACAGGCGTCGAACTTGGCAGTCAAAGTCAACACAAATCCATTACCAGTCTTGCACTATGAGGGTCCCTAACATTTACCATAGATTAGTGATGGGGAACCTTTTAGAGCCTTCAATGATAAAAACTGGCCACTGCGGCACACATGCCATAAATTTGCCACCACTGTCATGATGAAGGTAAAGGCTGCTACGCTAGCTAGCCAGGGCAGGGTGAGGCCAACACTCACCTAAGGCCCAGGCCAGCAGGGTGGATGTGCTAAACTTAGCACAGTCTGTTCTGAGCTCATCTCCAAAGGGGGGCCACCCAGAAAAAGAATGGCTTTAAGAAGAGCCTGGCCTTATCTGAGGATTTAGCTCAGTGGTTCCACTGCCTGCTTCTCAAGTGCAAGGTCCTGAGTTCAATCCCCAGTGCAAAAAAAAAAAAAAAAAAAAAAAAAAAAAAAAAAAGAGCCTGGCCCTGTTGGGCACTGTGGTGCATACCTTTAATCCTAACACTCTAGGAGGCTGAGACAGGAGGAGCACAAATTCCAGCCCAGCCAGGACAACTTAGCTACTGAGCTAGACCATCTCAAAATTTAAAAACACAAGTCTGGGGATGTAGCTCAGTGAAAAGGCCTTAAATTTGATTCTCAGTACAAAAACACAAAACAAAACGCCTGACCCTGCCTGTGGCTGCACCTATGAATTCCCCCAGGCAGTACTGGATAGCACCCTTCCCTACAGAAAACCAAGCTGCTGCTTCTACCCTTCTGGGGAAGGGTAGCCCTTCCCCAGCTCCTATGGCTCCCCTATGCCTATCCAACCTTGAGGAGCTTGCTGACCTTGGAAACACAGATTTTCTAAGGGAGGGGTGGCCAATGTGCCTTCACCAGAAACACCAAGACAGATCACACACAGGATCCATCCTGTCAAACGGCTTGAGGGTCACTCGCAAAACACAGGTGCCTGGCTTCCTTGGGGCAGACAACAGCCAGCAAGCGAGGTCTGATTCTGCATGCTGGACAGGACACAGGTGCACAGCTGAGCAAGGCACCTTCAGAGAAGTGATCAGATGACAAGGAAAAAACTGGCACTGGGTGACTGGTCACAGATGTTGCAGCTGGTCACACAGTTTATGACTTACTGCAAATTTCCCTGCATTGACACACACAGTTGTGTCTGTCATTTATATTTCTGTGTATTTTTTAAAAAATCTACATACCAACTCCGTGGTTTAGGTATTCTCATCTGTCGGTCTGAGCACGGCCCAGGTCCTTTTCCATTTGGGGATACAAAGTTGAAATTGGAGTATGGCCTCATATTCCTGTCTAGTGCTCCAGATCTTCTTTGGTACATCTGGATCATTTCCTGTTTTTACAGGGCTGAGGTTCTGGACTCTATCCTCTTGGATCCCTAGGGCTCCTCAGCAGTGATGCCTGTTTCTCAGGTGAGAGCCTCTCTACAGTGCACCTCCTCGGCCAAAGAGCCTGGCTCCTCTCAAGGGCTCACCTGGCCAGGCCAGGCCTGCTGTGATAACTTCCCTCTAACTGGTTTAAAACCATAATCCAGGGCCAGGGATTTAGCTCAGTGGTGCCAGCACCTTGTTGGCAAGTGAAAGGTCCCAAGTTTGATCCCCAGTGCCAGAAAACAAAACCAAAAACCAAAATAAAACCATAATCCATCTGCCAGTCAGAGCCCCTTCACAGATCCACCCAATTAGTTTGGGAAAACAACTGGAAAGGGTGTGTGCACGGGACGGGGGTGTGTCTCAAAATGTGTCCTCTGTGCATGAGCATTCTGCACATCTGCAGATCTCAAAGACCACGGTGATAAACAGAGCACCGGTCCTATCCGACCAAAGCCAGCAGGACACTGATGACACTGTTTTATTCCTGGAATCAGACAGATGTCAACTGTCATGTGGATCAACAGTGAACCCCACCTTCACAACCCCAACAGTGTCAGTGAGGACCCAGAACAAGCAGGGAGCATAGAGTAAATGTTCAGTGTGGGAATTCCTGCAGGGAAATCTGCACCATCAGGGGAAACCTTGAAGTCCAGGCATTATGGAAAAGAGTAAAGAGGCACAATGGCCAGAGACACCATTCGGCCCATGGCCATCAGTGGATGGACAGAGAGCGAGAGAAAGCATGTATACAATGGAAAACAATTCAGCCTTAAAAAGAAGGAAATCCCATCAATTACAACAACAACCTGAAGGATATTAAGTAAAACATGCCAGGCACAGAAAGGCAGGTACTGCATGACTCACTTATATGTGGAATCTGAAAAGGTTTCAGAAGCAGAGAGTAGAATGGTGGTTACCCAGGCCTCGGGTGGGGCAGTGGTGAGATGTTGGCCACAGGGTTTAAAATTTCAGTTGGATGAAAGGAATAAGTGCAACACAGTGACTACTGTTGGTGATAATGTATCAGATTCCAGAAAACCGCTGAGATTTTAAGTGTTCTCACCACGAAATATAGTGTGTGTGATAACACATTAATTAGGTCGATTTCACCATTTCATAATACGTACACTTTAGCATCACCTTGGACACAACAAATTTATGCAGTTGCCAGTTATAAATAAATATTTTAAAACCGTAAAATTATTCACACAGTTTTACTCATGATTTACACTTTTTGGAATTCAACCCAAGGTAGCAATCAGAAATGCACTAATAGGTTTCACATATATAATACTATGTCCATCTCAGACTTTTTTGTAATAACAAAAAAATTAGCATCAACCTAATTAAACTATACAGTACAGACTGATTATGTGTGTGGGTATAACAATATAGTATACTTCTTTAAAACATAGAAAATATATTTAATAACAAAATGCTTGCAAAAATATCCATGTAAGAGAAGTAGCCAGTAGTTTGTTTAGATAGATACGCTATGTCCTCAAGTGGCTATTTTTGTATAATAAAGTATTTATGGAAATTATAGATATTCTGTAAGTTTTGTGGTTTTGATGCCAATATAATTTAATCTGAGAATGATACTGGATGTCATAAAAGGACTTCCTGTCAGCATGAACCAGCGTGTGTGGCACCTAGCAGGTCTGGCATTGAAGTTCCTGTTCCTTACCAGACACTGCATTCGGCACAGTCTGATGGCCTCTTGTTCTCCTGCAGCCACACGTTTTTCCAAGGTGAAATGTTGAGGACAGTGTGGTCACAAGACTATGTGGGATTCCTGGCCAGCTTGCACTCAAGGGCAGGGCCATGTCCTCAGGAAGTGTGGACATGGCAGCTGTCATGGGCAGGGAGCACCACTGAGGGACAGTTCTGTTCCATCAGGAAACCTGGAGAAGGCAGCCAGCAGGGGGCAGCAGCCAGAGGCCACTAGTCCTAAGCCTGAGGCATTCATCACTGTACAGCAATGAGCTTTTAAAGTGAATATAAAACAGGATCTACACTCAAATAAGTAATACAAAAACAAAGTAATCTCAAAAATCTCAGCCTAGGGGTACTATTTAGCGTTATAAGGGCTGGGAAAATCCAGCTCCACAAAAGCCCCACCCAGCAGGGGCTTCCTGCCTTGGGGCCACTGGCCTAAAACCTCACTGGTCTCAGCTGCTCTGCCTGACTTCAGCTGGCTTACAGATTACAGAGGACAACAGGGTTCCCTTGGTGGACAAGTGAGCACCAGTGGAGCTGCATCCCCGCCTGCAGTGGGGCCCGACTCCATCCAGATGACAATCAATGGGTGACCTGAGAAAGCGGAATCACAGAAGCCACAAGCATATTTTTACTCGACAAGAGCCCCCAACACACGGCACCGATATGCACGCCATCTCAGAGTGGTGCGACTCCTGGTCTGCACGTAAAGAGTGAAATTATAGCTGGGCACAGTGGTGCACACCTGCACTCTGTCAGGCTAAAGCAGAAGGATTCCAACTGGGCAACTTAGCAAGACCTTGTCTCAAATGTAAAAATGTAAAAGGATGGGAATGTAGCTCAGGCCTAAGGTCTTGGGTTCAATCCCCAGTAGTGTACATAGGTGTACGTGCATGTGCATGTATACACACACACACACACACACACACACACACACACATAGGAAACACGACGTCTCCCATGCACTCTAGCATCACACTCACAGTCCCATCAGCACACAGTGACAGGTTCCCCTCTGTGGAGCAGCGTGGGGTCTGCGAAGACACTTCCCCACTCACAACATGAGCTGGGCTGACACATCTTTAGGGCAGGAAATGAACCTTTAGATATCTAACCTGTCACTTTTCCTAGAAAAGTTTTTCTTATTCCTCTGAATGATTAATTTTTAAATACATAGATTTAAAAGTAGTAAAGAAAGCTTATTGATACACAGGGCTACCCTTTGCCCAGGATAGTGTCACTAATCCTGCATGTTCCACACTGATGTTGCACCAGAAAGGACCTTGGGTGTACAGACCACACAGCAGTCTTGGGGGATGCTCACACGCCACAACCACCACCCAGCCTTACTTCTGTGATACCCCAGGACTTCAGAGGAGGGGCTGCATCCATCCTTTCCCAACCCCTCCAGAGAATGAGCCAGCTATGGAGACTGATGGACGCAGAGGCCATTCAGAGGCACCAGCTGACCAAACTGCCAGTTACTGCTGTCCTCCAGCCTTAGGGAAAGCAGGGAACCTTTCCCACATTCCACCCTGACTCTCAGCCCTGCATCAGTGCACAGCGTGTTCGGGGATGTGAGTGGTGACTTATGGCTGCATGTGAGGAGCCAGGGAAGGTGCAGGTGACACAACTGTGGGAAAACAGGACAAGAAGGGCCGACCTGCCCTGTAGGAGGAATGCAGCTGAGGGTGGAGGCGTCAGTCTCCTGGGATGCCCGTGACACAGCCACTCATGAGTGAAGGAATGCAGAAGTGTCCACACTCGAGAGGAAGGAGACCACGCGAGTGTTACAACAGAGGGCGCAGCTGTCACCGATGGGGCTGTGGCGTTGAGCCAACTTACCTGAAGGGTTGGCTGGGAGGAGAATGAGCAGGGACAGGCTGGTCACCCCTGCCTTGGGGAGGGAGCAGCCACCCCTGCCTCCTCAGTAAGCATCATTAAAAGATGAGAGAATCATGCTGGAGATTTAACTTAGTGGATCTGCCGCCTGCCTCACAAGCGCAAGGTCCCAAGTTCGATCCCCAGTACCAGAAAAAAGAGAGAGAATCTGATCACAGTCAGCACAGGCCCAGGCCCAGGCCCAGGCCCAGGCCCAGCCCCAGAAGCACCCGCCGTTCCGGTCACCTGGACTATGAAGCCAGTGGAGGAGCACTGCCGGACCCACAGGCTGAATTTCCGCTTTTTCCTCTTCCGCAGTTCACGTTCTGTGCATGTGGCAATGAACACGGGGTCCTCATCGATCAGGGGTTCATGTAGCACCTACAGGAAAGGCAGAGGTTCTCATGGGGGCAACATGAGCTAGGTCTCTGCCTTTAGGGTTCTTGGCGGCCGGGGGGGCGGGGGCAGTCCACCAAGAACCCAGTGGACCTCTGAGCACAAGCCCTGGTGTGCAGCAGACATCCTGGTAACTATTATTATTGGCCTAAAGTCCATAGTCCCGACCCCTACACAATGGAGGGATCTGTAGAAGGGTCCCGGCCTCAGGCTGGGCACACCCAGTAGAGGGCACCCATTCCTTCCAGGGAAGCCTCTTACCCCTGGTTTCTCCCACTTGCTAGCCCTTTGCAGCCTGTGAAACATTCAAAGCCCATTTGAAGCCACTCTAGCAAAACAGGTGACCTAGCTGTGCTGGGAGCAGAGGGATAGGATGGGAAGGATGCACGGAACAGCCTGTCCTACCCCTGCTCACCTCTCTGCCCAACATGTACACCTGCTCTTGTTCCTGCCCCACAGGAAGGGGAACCACCTCATCCTCCGTTATCGAGCCAGCAAATGTGCCTCTTTCTGCTCACCACGGACACACCTTCAGCTGCAGCCTCAGATCTATTCACACCAGAGCAAAAGGCGCAACAGGAACTGCTGGTTGTCATGATACCCCGCCCTTTTCCGTCATTAAGTGAGTTATGAGTGGGTCAGCACTGAGCAGGTCCTGAGCAATACCTCTGATCTCCAGACACTGTACACTAGAAAAACCCTTCTTCTGAGGGAAAGAGAGGACAGCAAGTCTGTCCTCCGTGCCAGCCCCCTAGTCTCCTCTGTGCACAACAGCTCATCCTGGGGAGTGCCAGTGGCATGTCCACTATTTGCCTACCTACATAGCCCACTGAGGATGTTTCTCTGGTCAACCTGGTTGTGAGAAATGTGGTATTTTCTATTTTGCATTGTATACTGGTGGGACTAGAAGACTTCCGAAGGCACCAGGCCATGGGTGCTGGGCACATCTGTGAGGAGACACACAGTGGTTTAGGGCCAGGAGGGGTGATGATAGAGAGCAGGTACAGAGAAATTCCTGGGACTTGGGAGAGCAGTGGGAAGAGGACCATCCCACAGGTCTCCAGAGACAAAAGCAATGCCCTCCCAGGGAGGCCGGGGTACACAGATGGCCATGGAAGCTTAAGGTCAAATCACTGTTTCCCCTTGTACCATCCAGGGACCCAAGGGGTGTTCAGGGGGGAAAGGCAGCATTTCTGGCTTCCCCAGTAAAGGGTCAGGAAAAGTACCTTCCTCCTCCCCTCCTTCCTCCAAGAAATGCATCTCAGGGCGGATGAGACCACAACCTCAGGAGCCAAGCCCAACATGGCCAATGCTGGCGCCAAGTCAAAGCGTCCCATGTGAGTCCCAAGAGAGGATGGTGCACGCTGAGACAGACTGGCAGACGGACACCTAGGCAGGAGGTGACACTGCCATGAAGACCTGGTCCTGCTAAATGCTCGGCAGCTCAGGCACTCTCCTCTTAACTTTCCCAGCTTGCATTTATCTGAAGCCGGCTCAACAGGACTCTGTGATAGCAGACAGGCCCTTGGCCTCCCCTCATCTCGCATCCAGCTGTAAGAGGGGTACCTGGGTACTCTGTCTGACCTCCATGTCCCCTGCCATCTTGCAACACTGTGCTAGGGCCTGGAGTCAACCTCTTACACCTGCAGTCCCAGCTTCTCTGGCCCTGGCTTCCAGCTCGTGTGAACAAGCAGGAGGTACTAGTGAGAGCCTCCCTTGGGCCTCAGCTCCTGCGGCTTCCAGGTGTCCCTTTCCTTGGGGGCTTCACTCTCTCCTGGTTCTCCCTGACCCTGGTCATGCCCCGCAGCCCTGAAGCTACACAATCTTCAACTCCCTTCCGACTCACGATGCACTTCCCTACTGGGATCTGACCAACCCACGGGGTAGCTTTGTAAAACATGGTAGTAAATAAATAATATATAAATAAAATTAACAGCAGTGATAAAGACCACAAAAATTATGCAGTTTTTTTAAAGTAAAAGGAAAAACAAATAAACAAGTATGACCTGGGAGCCACTCCCAAACTGAGCCTTGTCAACTCAGATACAACGAAGAGAAACTGAGCACAGAGTAAAAGGATGATCTCTCAGGGTCTCCCTGTTGCCCCCAGCCCTGCCTGTCAGGCAGTGGCTTCCAGGGACATCTGTCCTCACAGCTACTGTTCAGCTGCTGCCTGCTGCAGGCTCAGGAGGGCTGCTGGGTCTCCTCAGGGTGCCTATGGCCACAGCTGAGAGGGACAAGGCCAAGTCCACAGAGGGCCTGCAGATGCCAGGCAATGGAGAGCTGAGACTGCTGCTCTGGGATGCACAGTCAGCCCAGGACAGGTAGCTCACAGCAGACCTGAGTGTGACCGTGTTGAAGCTGCCTGGCTGGGGAGCCAGCAGGGTCTTTAGGCCGCTGCACACCAACCATCCGACTAGCCAGCTGCCAGATCCCGAGAGATGCCACGGAGAGTCCACCGTCTGCCACAGCAGCTCCTGAGCAGCAGACCCCAGCAAAGTCAGGAAGTGTTCCTGCTTATTGGGTCCTACCGACGTATCTCTAGTCTGGTTCATTTTCAAACAAGCAAGTTAGCTGGGCATGACAGGACATACTTGTAATCCCAGCTTCTCAGTAGACTGAAGTAGGAGAACTGCAAGTTAAAGGTCAATCTGAACAACAAAATCGGACCTTATCTTGATTCCAAAGTTTTAAAATGGCTAGGATTTAGCTCAGTGGTAGAGTACTCGCCTATCATGTGCAAGGACCTGGGTTCACCCCATCACTGAAGGAAGGACGGAAGGAAGGTCGGAAGGAAGGAAAGCAAGGGAAGGAGGGAAGAAAGAGGAAGGCAAGGAAAGGAAGGAGAAGGGAGGGGAGGGGTGGGAAGGGAAGGGAAGGGAAAAGAGAGAGAAGGAGCAAATAAATCATGCGTCTTGGCTGCAAGTGGTCTTGAAGGCTTGTGATCAGCAAGACTGTGTCCTCAAGCATCTCTCCTTAGGAAGGTAAGTGACACCCGACACAGGACTAAACACTGGGTGGGATTCAGCAAATGGAATAAACAAGGATATCTGGGCTGGACACTGGGCTCTGGGACTGGATAAGACTACAGAGCAAAGACAGAAGAAAGAAGCACACCATCATCAAAGAGCAGGCCACAAACCATGGAAATCACGAGGAACCAGGAAGGGAGGGCTCAGGCGGACATGAGGCAGAGAGGACACAGGTAGACACTGGGTACGGAGGGCTCAGCAAACACCAAATAGGGAAGGAGCTGAGTGAGCAGAGCCACCACTCCCGGTACCCACTGAGGATGTCAGGACAGTCAGGTACCTGCAGTAGGTCCTGCGCTCTCAAACCCTTCCCGAGCCTCTGGGCTGTGTCCTGACACATGTGCCCCTGACACATAAGCAGGCTCAGTGGCCTAAAGAATCCCAGTCACTGCTTTCCCCACCCAGAAGGTACCCCAGGCTAAGCACACTCAAAAGCATACAAGAAAGTGAACTCTGGAGTCCCTCATATCTACCTGGGGAGGAGGGCTGCTGGAGGATGGAGAGAAGCCCCCTTCCCAGGAAAGGGCCAAATACTGCCACATCTGGGGCTGGAGCTGTGGCTCCCAATATCCGCCCGATCGAGGTTGGACTTGTACACATGGGTTCATGGGATGGAACAACAGCAGAAGAGATCCTGAAGTGACCTCCAAGGCTGCGCAGGGCAGGAGGGCAGCTCCACGTCATGCCTGCAGCAGGGGAGGCCAGGGCACCCCATGGGTCTCACCTGGGTCTGGGAAGGCCGGAAGGCGGCATGGAAGCTTCCCTGTAGAGCATCCAGGAAGGGCTGCACCTTGTAGAGCCCGTGTGAGGACTGGCTGGAGCGGAAGGCCACCACGTGGAAGTACTTGAGGATCTTCTCAAAGCGAGCCTGGCTCATGACCAATGCCAGGCTGCGGTTGCTGTAGAAGCCGCCGCTCCAGATGCTGAGGACCGACTCACAGTGGGACACGCTAGTGGAGATCACGTAGCCCAGGAAGGCCTTCATCTCGGCCAGTGTCACCTCTGCCCAGGCACCATCACTGCCAAAGCGCTCCTGGAACTTCTTGGCATACATATTGGTCTGCACCACCATGTTCTTGAGGACATTGTCGGGGACAAAGAGCTGGAAGAAGTCCATGGCACTGGCACTGGGGGGCATCTTTCGAGTTGGACCTGAAACCCAAAGACAAGACAAGCTCTCACTACCATACCTGCCTTTGCCCGGTAGGTCGGACAATGCCCCAGCCCTGGGCCTCTGCCACCCTTCCACTCTCCACCAGGAGGGGCTGGCATGGCCACGCTAGTTAGAGGCTGGGCCTGGCCCTCCTGTCCACCCTGCCCATCATCCAGGCCTCTGCCACACCACTGCAACTGGGCTGCTCCCTTGCAATGCATGCCACACAGAAGGCTGGCATGGTACCCACAGGCACAGATCCAAAGGAGAGGGACACAGGAGGGAGGGGGACACATGCAAACACGGGCTTGACGATTCTTTTCTGGCTTTGATTTTCTGTAAATAAAGTGCTTCCCTGTGTGAGGTTTGAAAAAACCATTCAGGGAAGGTAGTGGTTTATATAAAACATTCCCAACACAGCAATCTCAAATTTATTAGTGAGTAAATCTGAAAGGGTTGGTTTAGATCATTTCATCAATGTGATAAAAAGCTTCACAAATTGTGACTAATGCAGTCCCTCTGAACACACTTATGCTGGGTTAAATCCTGATAAACCCTTTGGGAATAGGAAATATTGTAAGGGGAAAACATCTAACACACCCAACCTACAGGAGCACAGCACCCCATTGTGGTGATGTAATGAGCTCACCCTCATTATCAAGGAGTGAGTGGGAGCTGTGATTCACTGTCCTTACCAAGAATATCATAACCACCTATTTCTAGCCCCAGAAAAGGTCCAAATTCACAGTTCAAAGTATGGTTATTTACCAAAATAGGTTTCTGCTTTTACAGCACTGTAAAGTAGAAAAATCCTAATTGAACTATGCTAAGTCGGGGTCTGTGTGTGTATGTGTGTGTGTATTTACATATATATTACAAGCTATGGCTTGCCATCCTCAAGACTGGCTGAGGGAATGCAGACTAGAGATTTGGAGATAAGCTTTGTTTCTTTTGTCTCCAGAGGGTAATTTTAAATAAAAGCTCTGTGCATTCTTTAGATATTAATTGCTACTTGCCCTAGCCTTCCTTTGCTGCTGATTTAGACAGTCTGAAGTAAACAAGTTTTTACAGCAAACTAAGAAAATGTAAATAAGACATCATGGGTTTTTTAATCAGATGGACAGGTCTGGACTGTTAACACCCTGGATTTACTTTTAGCTAACTGTACAATCTCAGGTAAATTTCTTAATCTTTCCCAGCACTAATTTTCTCATTTTGAACCGAGAAATACAGAGTTTGAAAGGTTTTCAGGAAGAGTAAAATGAACACAGTCACACCTATGGCATAGCCCATTAGAGGGGAGGCACTTTAGGCCTGGCCACCATCCCTGAGACACTGATGCCTGTGGAAATCTGCCACAGGTCAAGGGCTTTCCAAGGCAAACTCCAACCATCCTCAGTTTCCAGAGGAACTGGAGTCTGGGGAGGAAAGCTGTCACCAGTTTTACCAACCACATTTGGATAGGTGGTCACATGACAGGCCAGAGGACCAAAAGAGCCTATGTTCACACCTCAAACAAAAACCTTGCTTTTTCAGCAGAGCCTAGAAGCCCCTGGAGGAGAAGCCATAAATTACTGAGCAGGGGCACTAACACGGAGGGGGATCAGCTTCTCTCTGCAGTATCATGCTGACTAAGTGGGGTGGAATTTTCTTTCCTCAAGTTATGTTTAAAGTAATTCTGCTCCCAAGCGATGTCAGGACTAATCTACACGGCAAACCCAACCCTGGCCTGGCCAAAGGCTTCATGAGAAAAGAGGGAGATGACGGGTTCCCACTTCTCTGTTCAGCTTTGATTTGCGAGCTCTCTCCTTGGCCTTTCTCCCTGTAGTAACTCCTGATATGGTGAGAGGAGAAGAAGGAAAGGAGGGAGGATCGGGAGCGGCCCATAGAGACAGCCTCGCTTTGGGTGTGAGAAGGGCATTTTGGATAAACTGATTTCTTTGCTATAAATTTTCAGCAGTTTTAGGACACATATGAGGGTCAATTAACATTTGTAAAGTACAATTTATTTCCATTTTATTTTTTTCCAGAAAGTATTTTAAATGAGGTTTAAGATAATGGGATCATTTATCTCCAGGCTAAATCAAACAAGTACAAAAATAAACCAGAAGGTCCTACATCAGCACAAAATTTACTCTCATTTTCAGGTAGAAAGAACCAACACCCTGGTCTCTGCATCACCCAGGTGGGGCCAGGACCCAAATGTCACCTATCCCGCCCTCCCTCACTCCCCTCCTCCTCAGGGTAGCCCAGACCGCCAGCCCCAACACCCCTCAACACCTCAGGGTGACTTTGAGCCCTCCAGGTCTCATAGGAGCCGGGCTCTGGGGACAGTGATCCCCTCTGCGCGTCTGCTGCTCCAGATGCTCCAGGAGAACCTCCCTGAGCCACAGCAGGCTCAAACCTCTGAGCTGTGCCAGTGATCCCCCCACCCCGGCCCTGCCCCCACTGCTGGGAGAGTCCTCAAACAGATCCACAGATGCACAACAGTGCACGGACAGGCTGCAGCTGCTCTACAGACGCAGCTCCACACAATCCTCAGTCAGCAGGGGAGTGCGGCCAGGTCTGAGGGATTCCAGAGATTACAGGCAGAGCCCCCAGACAGGCTGTAAAGGCTGCTAGAAGACCTCCAGGAAAAGCTGCCAGAGAAGCCACAAGTTTTGACAACTGAGGAGCTCATAGGGTTGGCTAAGAGCTTTGAAGAGCTGTGACATGAAAGGGCAGGGGCTACCACACAGAGCTGTACTTTGTGGACTCACAATTTCCCCAAATTGAGCAAAAGAGCCCTATACTGATTGACGGCCATTTCCATAAAAGGGTAATGTAGGAAGTACCAGTGCCACTATGACGAACGCTAGCCACAGCAGTTTTCATCTTCAACCGAACTTATCACCCATTCTCTTGGGTACTTTTCCTCCCGCAAGGCTTATGCTAGACAAGCCTCTGTCTTTCTGGTCAACACCAGGGGTGCAGAATTCCACCACTCGCCAGCAAGTGCTTCTAACTTCCTTCCTAGCTTAACTTCTTCTTCAAAACCAAGTGACCAGCAGCAAGCCTGACTGTGTAGGACCAACATCTCTGCAGAACAGGACCCCATATGCATCCTGGAGGCCATCCTGACACCCAGGTCAAGCACCTTCTTCTATGGCCCCAGCAGGGGCATACCACATGTGGCAGCCAGGAGGGTCATGGGGCATCCCCTTCCACACAGAAGTGACATGTTCCCAAACCACAGCATATGGGACATTTAAAGATGTTCCAAACCATTCCCTACACAAGGCACATGCATAGGCAGGAGATGGCCATCCTCCCATAAGCCTTAAGACTCCATGCCTGCGTGATGGCCAACCCAATCACCTGCCACCTGCAGATGTTCTGCTCAAAAACATTTCTCAAAAGTGTTCTGCTGGGTGAGGTGGCCCTGTCTCCCAGGGCACTAACAGTGGAGCAGTCAGAAGAAAAAGTCACTGTTGTCCTCTCAGCGATGAGCATCACATGCTGGACCAGCACTGCAATTGTGACCCTCCACAAGGACCCCCTCCTGCTGTAGGTCCCACCTCTATTTCAGTGACATTCAACACTCTGGTTCACAGGGACAAAGGATTCTTTGGACTTTGCCAGTGAACAGGGATCAGGTCACACTGTCTGCACAGACTGAATGAACGACTTACCCTCTGACCAGATCTGGGATTGATGTAAATGGCAGGACAACACAGGAAGGTTTATGAACATTGTGTCCAGCACAGGGCTGATATCAGAGCAAACCCAAGGTCAGAATGTGAATGAAAGAACTACAGCAAATGCAAAGCCTCATCATGGCCAAACTCCATTAGGAAAAGAAACTTAAAGGGCCAAGAAGGGACAGGGCTACTGTGACAGTCTGTTTGAATTGCTGTGCCTCAGTAAGCCACAGCCCCCTAAGTGCATGCTGCTCAGGTGACAGCCCAGCCACAATGGCCTTGACCAAGCTCAAACACTCCCCTCAACTAAGATCATCCACTAAGATACCCACTAAATTCTTTTCCTGAATTCTAGGCTACAACACAGTAAAAGAGAGAGTCTGCAGATTGAGAGATAAAGTTTCCTGCAACTGCAGTCAGGAGGGATAGGAGGTTCCCTTCTAGCTCTCCATCATCTATCTGAACCCCCAAAAAGATAGCCATGAGAAAATAGTGGCCTCACCCCATCCAAGAATCATCTGGATGCTCTGACTCTCACATGAGGCTGTTTTAAGCCTCCACTGGGTATGGGAGGGGAAAAAAGTTTCCCATTTCTGTGGAGAACCACAGGGTGGGCATAGGGGTGAAGAGATTGGCCCGTATCGAGTGGCCCCATTCCACAGTGATTGGTCTGGAGGGGCCACCCAGACTGTTGGTTACTATTTTCCACAGCCTCACAGCCCTCCCACCACAACCACAGCCACTTAGCTCTGACCCTGATCAGAATACTACTACCCACTTTCCACCCACCTGGGATGTGGTCTCTTCCTTGGGCTCCTTCCCAATTGACCTCTTGTGATTGGGCCTCAGCTAAAGCCACTGATATTCCCACAACCACCCTGACCTCACCTTGGGAACACACTACAGAGAGAGAAGCCATGTGGGCACCGACACTGGACATGCCAGTGTAGACAGGACAGTGGTCACCCAGGTACCTCTGGAGAGTCCCCTTCATGGTGCAAGCACTGAGCCAGCCAGTTTAGTTTCCAGGAGCCCCATTGAGCAGTGCTGGGAGGTTCTGCAGACACCAAGGATCAGTGAGAAATTGCTCGGGCCATGCACCTGGGGAACAAGGGCCTAGCACTCACCTGCATCTCACCCCACCTGCTGGGGGACACCTGGCCCTGTGGTTGCTTCTGGTTTGCGATGCTTGCATGATGTTCTAACTATAAGGACAGCTGAGGAGGAACCCAAGTTCTGGGAGAAGTAGGAGATGCTGAAGCCTACCAATTCGATAGACACAGACTTGGGATTTGACCTTGTGACTAAAATAAATTCTT